AAACAATAATTGATTCTGGACCAATCATGAGTCGACTAAGATATAAATAGTATCTGATTTACATACTCCCTTGCAATCCACGCTTGTGAGGCACAGTCAACCACTTGCCTTGGTACTAAAAAGACCGCGCACTTCTTGATCGATACCCACTTTCTTGTKTTCGTCTCTTACCCGTGAATWTAWGATGGACGGCTCAAGATTTTACAATTCAAACCGACCTAGAACAAGCACCCCAAACAGTTCAGCAAGTTCAACGCCTTGCAGTAGCAGATCTCGACAAAGTTCTTTTGAGGGTGAAACACCACTTTCATCAAGGCAGAACTCTGCTATGTCTTCTAATATATCAATGTTTCAAGAGCAGCTGACGACCGTTCTTCAAAAGCTTGAAGAAACAACAACTACATTGAAATCACTAACTGAAAGAATTGAAGTGATAGAAAAGAATTCTGGCGATGGTTTGAACACGGTGGACGACAAGAAAAAAGGCAGAAAAAGGAAACGTCCACAAGATTCTTTAACAATACAGGTAAGGTAATCTTATGCTTATCCTTTTAAACGTTAAATGTTCGAGGTACTAGATTTCTGAATAAAAACATTTTGCTTTAGGAAAAGATCCATAATTTTCACGCGAAAAGAGAAGACCGCCGAAAGTATAAAGGGCTTGAAAGGTWAAACCATTGTATCGTAGTAAAATAGATATTCTATCTTCAATGACGACATTATTTCTTTCAGTGTCCTTAGCGCTCATAACAAAACTGTGACTGCCTCTATCGTGAAACAGCTTCATTCAGAAGGATTTGATGAGTTGAAAGTGCAACGTAAGTAAACTTACGTTACTTAAATTCTTATGAACGCTTCTTAAGATGCAAAAAACCCCAACCCGCTAACGTGTAAAAATGTATTTATTAGATTGAGCGTAAATACTCCAAGTCGATTATCAAACTGCTTTTTAATAGGGGCAGCAAAAAAGTTTCATGAGCATTTACGACGAGTTGCACAAGGCAAAGTTGATGAAGATCTAAAGATCAGAATGAAAAAATCCATTAGAAAATCGAGGGTAAGTATTACTTTATAGTTCCTTTTAGAACAAGCGTTCCGCGAAGCCGTGGACCGCATTTCCTAACAAGCGTTTGAAAAAACCGCGCTTTCCGAGTTAATTAAGTAAAAACAATGGATTAATTAAATAATGCCGCTTCAAAAAAAANGCAGCGCTAGATGAAAGAGAAGAACTTAAACTTCAACATCTAAAGGCTAAGATGATAGAATCCTTGAATTTGTACGTGAACAGCGAGGCAACAAACAAGCAATACAGCAACCTAACAACAACAGAAAGGAGAGGGCTGAGGTCTCTGAGAGAAAAGTGTAGAAACAGTGATGTGGTGGTTTTCCAAACGGATAAATCTGGAAAGTTTGCAGTCGACACACCCTCCAATTACATCAGTGCTAGTGAGCCGCATGTGSTGAAGGACACGACACTAACAGAACAAGAATATGATGGTCTTGAAACACTCATGAATGCCCACTCAACYATGTGGACACGAATATTAGCTGCGGGTAAACATACCAACTGTATATCGAGGATAAAGAGCAACATGATGGTCAGCGGATGCCCCCTAGCGCCACTGTATACACTGAGAAAAGACCATAAAGTGTATGAGGACCCCATYGCTGGACCTCCTGTTAGACCTGTGTGCGGAGCAGTGGTATCGTACAACCAGCACCTATCTTATCTTATAAGTTCAATACYGACTGAGGTGTGGAGAGGTGAAGCCAGTGTGTGTATGAGTACCGAGGAGATGGCGGCAGGAATAAGAGACGTGAACGAGATGAAGCTTGAAGAAGACCTTATCATTGGATCAGCTGATGTAAAAGCTTTATATCCAAGCCTGGGTATCGATTTCACAGTTGAAAAGGCATGTGAGCTTTTCCAGGAGAGCGATGTACGGGTAARGGGTTTGGATGTAGATGAGCTCGGACTGTACCTAGCGCTTAATCGCAGCGAGAACTACTTGAATGAGCAGTGCTTATTAGACTACTGTCCTACCAGAAAAACGAACAGAGGAAGATGCCCGTTGATAACAGGATGTGGTGTAGAAGAACAGAAGAACAAACGATTCGCTGCATGGAGAAAGGCTAAGGAGGTAGCGGATGAGAACATTCAGCATAAGATGTTGACTGAGGCAATGAAGGTAGTCCTGTTGTTCATCATGAATAACCATGTGTACACGTTTAACAAGGAGGTAAAGANAAATCCATTAGAAAATCGAGGGTAAGTATTACTTTATAGTTCCTTTTAGAACAAGCGTTCCGCGAAGCCGTGGACCGCATTTCCTAACAAGCGTTTGAAAAAACCGCGCTTTCCGAGTTAATAAAGTAAAAACAATGGATTAATTAAATAATGCCGCTTCAAAAAAAAACCCGCTTTCTAAAGTACGTTTACATAAGCTTAAGTCAAAAAATTGTTCTGATATCTAATCTACTCTTATGAATGACAATTCACAACACTCCCATTCCGTCACGAGGGAACAGTCATGCCCAACAATAGGACACAGGCAGCCCAACGACTAAACAACCTCATAAAGAGCCTAAAGATGAAACCGGAAATGAAACAACACTACATCGATTTTATGGGGAAAATCATCACTAAGGGCCACGCAACACAGATACCTACTGAAGACTTGAAAACCCAAGACGGACAAGTATGGTATCTACCYCATTTTGGAGTGTATCACCCCAAAAAGCCAAACCAAATTCGCGTCGTATTCGATTCTTCAGCCGAGTACGACAATGTGTCTTTGAACACGGTGTTACTTTCTGTCCCAGATCTGGCTAACAATTTGACTGGAGTACTCTACCGCTCCCGAAGAGAAAGCATAGCAGTCATGTGCGACATCGAGCAGATGTTCCACTCATTTCACGTATCCGCAAGGCACCGCGATTACCTCCGCTTCTTATGGTTTAAAGAMAACGACCCGGAGAAAGAGATTTGCGAATATCGCATGAACGTGCATTTGTTTGGGAACGGTCCTTCCCCAGCGGTTGCAACGTATGGCTTAAGAGCTACTACCAGCAGCCAGGACGTCAGCGAAGAGGTTAAAGAGTTCGTTAACAGGAACTTTTACGTAGATGACGGACTGCTATCAGCACCGACCGCACAGAAGGCCATCGATATCGTCAAAGACTCACAGCAAGCCCTYGCTACAGCCAACCTCCGCCTACACAAGGTCGTATCGAATTCGAGGGAAGTAATGCAAGCCTTTCCGATAACAGACAGGGCAAAGGATCTATACGACTTGGATCTTTCTACGGAMGGCCTACCCGCTCAGCGCTCACTGGGAGTATATTGGAACCTACAGGATGACAGCTTCACCTTCCGCATATCTGACAACGATAAGCCATTCACAAGAAGAGGAGTACTATCCACTATCAACTCGGTGTAYGACCCACTCGGCATAGCAGCACCAATTGTGATCGACGGAAAGCGACTTCTCCAGCAATTGATGTTAGCTAAGAAGGCAGATACTAATGCACTCGCATGGGACGACCCTCTACCAGAAAGGCAAATAAGCCAATGGCAGAGATGGAAAAACGACCTGCGAKCGCTTGAAGATGTCAAGATTCCAAGGTGCTACAAGCCAGAGGGTTTTGATGAAGTAAGGAGAGCGGAGCTACACGTATTCTCTGACGCAAGTCAAGATGCCTTAGCAGCCGCAGTATACCTCCGACTCTTCGACAAGGAAGACAACATCTCCGTAGCATTGGTGTATGGGCAGGCCAAGGTGGCACCCATACTCATTCTCAAGTAGTACTTGGCTATATCTTAAATGAGAAAAAGCGGTTCTACGTATACGTCACCAATAGGGTACAAATAATCCGAGGTCTGACGCTACCCGACCCACGGAGGCACATAGAAAGCGAGAGAAATCCGGCAGACATCGGCACAAGGGGAATCTCCGCCAGAAAGCTTCAGAMATCCCTATGGGTCACTGGTCCAGGCTTTCTAAAGGACGGCGAGGAGCTAGCCAAGCCAAGCAAGATAACTAACATCGACGACGATCCTGAGGTACGGAGAGAAATAATGACAATGAAAACAGTGTCGAGCAACAAAAAAATCTCTAGGCGCAAAACGTTTCGAGAGATTTTCTTCCTTTACTCCCTTGCAACGAGGTATCGCAACACTTTTATCTTGGGTCAAGAGGTATAAGACCCGCCAAAATTCTTCATCGTCACGCAATCATCGTCCGACCTTGGAGGAGCTCAACGCAGCTACGAACCTAATAATCAGGGAGGTGCAATTGGACGCAAACCTTATCACCAATACTGACACACAAGATACCGACAAGATACAGAAGACCGACATCGATGGTCTTAACCTCTTCATAGATGTTGACAGAATACTGCGTGTCGGAGGACGCCTACGGAGATCCTCACTCAACACTCAGGAGAAGCTCCCAGCCATACTACCGAAGGACAAACATCTATCTACCCTCATCGTGGAACATTTTCATAAGAAAGTCCATCACCAAGGGCGGCAAATCACCCATGC